AAGGAACATACAGGTGCTAAAACACGACAGGAAATGTCTGGCTGAGGGTCACTGGCAAATGTTATTTTACATAGTCCAAAAAAAGACCACATTTGGATATTCCCTGGTTGCATATTTTTGGTCCTGTCTATGAGCAGGCATTTGAAAGAGGGCATGTGTATGTGAAGGTTCCTGTGGTGATTGCCGTGTGTTGTAACCTGAGGTGTTGTGTTGCAGTGTCAGTGCTACAACGGCCTGGTGCTGTCCACAGAGAGCACGGTGGCTCTGTACGGCATCGTCACACCAGTCCCCGAGGGCAAACAGGTACAGCCTCACCATCACCACATGCACATATATGCACACAAATATGCACACGTGCGTGCATACACACACACACACACACATTGCACTATGGAAACGCTCTGATGAGAGGACACTGTGGGAGACTAACACACTTTAGACCCCTAAAAGGGGTCGGTACTGAAGGCTTTATGCAGTGGAAACACTCAGGGTCTGCTCCGTCCTGGCCCTGTGGAAATAAGGTTTAAATTCTGGATTTAGCCCACGGAGCTTGGCATTTGAGATGGTTATTGGACATTTAGTGTAACAAAATAGATTTCAGGACATTTATTGATGTGGGGGGGGTATACTAGTCTACGTATGTGTATCCAGTTTCAATACTAGTATTAATATCAGTTAGAATCACATTTTAGGTTTTTGGGGTTTTTTTTGACAACCCTACAATGAATTCCTTTTGGACTTTAGGCTTGTATTCGTATTCATATATTGGACCTCCATTAGCTACTCTTCCTGGAGTCATTGTTACATACACAATTGACATGACATCACAATAACAATACCCATGATACACAATACACATTGTTATTGTTGGTTCATTGTCACTGTTGGTTCATTTGCGTAAGGCTTCAGGAGTGAGTTACTGGCATGCTTAACAGTGCATAGTTAAAAGACTGAAGACTTTGTGTGTGTGTTTCCCCAGGCCCCTGGAGGCCACGAGCTGCACTGTGACTTCTGGGAGCTGATCGGCCTGGCTCCTGCAGGAGGCGCTGATAACCTTCTCAACGAAGAGTCCGACGTGGACGTGCAGCTCAACAACAGGCACATGCTGATCCGCGGAGAGAACGTCTCCAAGATCCTCAGGGTCAGGTCCACTGTCACACAGTGCTTCAGGGATCACTTATTCAACCGCGGCTACTACGAGGTCAGCACACACACATGCCTGCACACACATGCCTGCACACGCACACACACTTGCCTACACACACTCTCCAAGGTCAGTACACAAACACACACACAGATAGTATGAGGACAGTACTCACTCACTCACAGACATAGTCCAGAGACAGTCACAATTTAAATGATGATATGGAACTTTTAGAAAGTAAGTGAAAGCCCTCGTCACCTTGAAAGATACTGATATGTCAAATGTTTGGCTCTGGCCCATGGACTAAATAAGACAGAGTCCCTCTTTCTGCATTGTCTGACCCAAACAAGTCAGATTACAGACTTAACCACTCCAAAAGAAAGGCCCACCTCTCCTTTGTCCTCTGTGGGTGGAATCTTTGAGGACTTTAAGGAAGCCGGTGAACTGAAATGGGAAGCTACCTCAGAGTAGTGCAGTCGTGTTCTCCTGCCCTCACCCCCCTCTCCCCTCTTCTCCTGCAGATCACCCCTCCCACCCTGGTGCAGACGCAGGTGGAGGGGGGCTCCACCCTCTTCGATCTGAATTACTTTGGGGAACAGGCCTACCTGACACAGTCCTCTCAGCTCTACCTGGAGACGTGTATCCCCGCTCTGGGAGACACTTTCTGTATCGCTCAGTCATACCGTGCCGAGCAGTCCCGCACCCGCCGGCACCTGTCTGAGTGAGTATCCTGGAGCTCCCACACACACACATGTCCACTCCAAATGGGGAATACTTTATGATGATGCATTCAGGTACACGTCAGTGAGTCTTGTGACTCTTGTGGTGCTTTCAGGTACACCCACATCGAAGCTGAGTGTCCCTTCATCACATTTGAGGACCTGCTGCAGCGGCTGGAGGACCTGGTGTGTGACGTGGTGGACAGAGTGCTCCAGTCTCCTGCAGGACAGCTGCTCTATGACATCAACCCTGTAAGTCCAGTGTGTCCATCATATGTCCAACGGCACTCTGGTTTAATACTTTATATCAAATAATGATTTCCTAACATTAAATGTCACCTGGGATGGGCTTCAGCATGCAGCAAGTTCATTTAGAGCCCTTGTTAATGATCTAAGGTGTTCCTTAGATCCTTAGATCATTAAATACAACTTTATGTGAAAATGTGCTAATGTCAATGTCCCTGAATGATTCACTGAAGGTAAAACCAGGCATGTTCAGGGGACTGAATTTGCAGTTTGCTTCAGTATTTCTTTCTTTATTTTTCGCATACATCAGCCCTTCATGATCATATGGACAGGCTGCATTAACCCTGAGGACCCTATATATATGAGAGTGACAACATGTGTCTGATCTGTTTTGACCTTCTCTGGTGTGTGTTGTCATGATCAGGGCTTCAAACCTCCCAAGCGTCCCTTCAAAAGAATGAACTACACCGAGGCCATCGAGTGGCTGCGAGAACATGACGTGAAGAAGGATGACGGCTCCTACTATGAGTTTGGAGAGGTGAGGCCTACACCTGCTCTGCTCTACAGGCTTTGTACCAAGAGCCCCACTTTTGACTAATGCAGAACTATGCTCACAAAATGATATCTTGGCACACCTTCATCTCTTTCCATGGCTTTCACAGTGATGGAAATCTAGTGCTGTTCCCATAACAATTAACTATTCAAAAGAAAGTCTTTTTAATAGCCACATCTATCAAAATTACTCTATTGGTACCTGAAGGGTAATTTAAGCCCAACATCAGATCCAGTGTCAGGGAAGTGTGAGGCAGAGTCCTGCAAATAGTTGCTGAAATTGGGCGGGTTTTAATGTTCTGGAATTTTACGGGCGGGTATGTGGGTGGGTAGTGATTACACACGGGCGGGTCAGGTGAATCAAATTGAACGACCAACAGGAGGAAAAAACCTTTGGTTCCTCTCCCCGGTGTCCTTCCACTTCCATGATCTGCGTTTGGTTCCTGACCAACACAGCCTTACACATGTGTCCTGTCATATCTCCAGGATATCCCCGAGGCTCCAGAGAGGCTCATGACTGACACCATCAACGAGACCATCCTGCTGTGCCGCTTCCCTGCTGAGATCAAGTCCTTCTACATGCAACGCTGCTCTGACGACCGCCGCCTCACTGAATCTGTACGTCAACACACACGCACGCATGAGCCACGTCTCATTGTTTTTGCGCAAAATGTTAAAAGTGCTGTACCTGATTTATATGCTCTTTAAAGCATAAAAAAAACAGAGTTTGTTCATTTTTAATGGTTTGCAGAGACCAGAGTTTTTCCTCACTTACCTTATGTATTCACCACGTTCATGAGTTTATAAGCACTTTTCACAACTCTCAGTCATAGCAGAGTTCTACATCACAGTAAGAACTAGCATGCTAACGTGCACTTATTGACTCTCAGACAATAAAACACTATAGTTAGATACAGACCTATCTTAAACTCAAGAGCTTCTTATACAATACATCTGTATGGTGGCAAGACAGATTTGCTCAAATCCATGGAAATAAATGAGTACAGCCACTTGTGTGCATAAGCACTTAAGCACCAATGTTATGATTTGTAAAGCACTCTTCCTGTTTAATGCTTGTGTATGTGTGTGTGTGTTGTTCAGGTGGACGTTTTGATGCCAAACGTGGGGGAGATTGTGGGAGGGTCCATGCGTATCTGGGACAGCGAGGAGCTGCTGGAGGGCTACAAGAGAGAGGGCATCGACCCAACACCCTACTACTGGTATACAGATCAGGTAACGCCCGCACACCTGCACATATGCACTCTAAGAGGGTGCATGTGTGATGTTTTATTGTGACATTACACTGACTTGCATTCATTTCCTGGAGACTGATCCTAACCTTAACTTTAATGAACCAAACTCTAAACTTTAAACCATGTGATCTAATACTGAAGGATTTACTATTATGGGGACCAGATGTTTGGTTCCCACAGAGCAAAAGGTTCCTATGAAGTGAAAGTGTATACATTTCAGTCCCTACAATGTGATTAGTAGCATACACACAGTGCCCAAAGCATATACATACTGATACGACCCCAAAGGGATAACTAATATATTATTTTCATTAACATCTTAGAAACTGAAAATAATTCACCAAAGCGTAGTCACAGCTGGGGTGCACTTAATCCAGACCAAACCCAAACATGTTTGTATGTTTTTCTATTGACTGTTGTTCTCCTGTCTGTTTCCAGAGGAAGTACGGCACATGTCCTCATGGAGGTTATGGTCTGGGCCTGGAGCGCTTCCTCACCTGGCTCCTGAACAGACACCACATCAGAGACGTGTGCCTGTACCCGCGCTTCATCCAGCGCTGCCGGCCTTAGAGCGCCCCCTACTGTTCAACTGGCATACACACACGCACATTCATACATTACCTGTACCCACACTTCATCTAGTGCTCCCAGCTATAATGGTACACTCTACTGACCAACTGTACACACACACACACACACACACACACACACACACACACACACACACACACACCGCTGATTCTGCACCGTGCTTCATCCATTGCTGTCGGCCCCGTACCCCCCATCAACTACATTTGCAGGCCCTCCCCAGGCTCCTCACCTCCACCGTCCTGTCCCTCTATGGTCTCTCAGTACCACAGGAATACTGCATTGTACCGCACTGGCTCAGTCTAAATGTATCATGTTCTGCGAAGTTTCAATAAACTCTAAAATCTACGGCTTTTTACTCATTCCAGTGTTGCTGCTTTACCAGTGGTTACTACTTATATGTACTTAGCATTGCTCTCAAATATAACTTTGTATTTCTCTGTGAGGCTGCGCCTGAATGACTAATAGAGGGCGGTAGTTGCTGGCTCTGAGTCTGAACTCTCATGTGGCCGTTGTGCTACAGCCAGACTTCACACTACACTTTACTCTACAATGTGCTGTGTCCAAAGGTTTTATGGAAAACCAAAGTCTGAACACCATTTGGGACTGTATTGTTTGTGTACAACTCAGACGGAACATCTAACCATGCTCGCATTGTCCTCTAGATGGAGCGCGCGCTCTTTCTACTGTGCCAGGGATTCATTAAAGGGCGACGGGCCTCCAGTTTGCGTCGTAATAATACGTTTGTTTTGTTTTTGGTTTTTTTCATTAGGACATCTACTGTTATACTTAAGGTTATGCGTGTTATGTCTGAAAAATGTATATGTTGTATATGTCTAGTACGTGTTTGCCATGGAGGCATCATAAAGTCTAGTTGTGCTTTTGTTGTGAAATACCAAACCGGACGTTGCGCTCGAGGTTGGCCCCGGTTCCGCTTATGTCATGTCAGGAGCAGTTGCTGAGGCTGAAGGAATCCTGCGGCACATCGGAGTGGACAGTGAGGAGAAAGGACTGTCTCCGTGTTCCATAGCGCCGCTTAACTGACCCTGAGCCGAGTGAGAGCTGTGCGGGGCCGCGGGGGGAGCCATGGCGGGACTGGGCAGCGCGGGCCGCCTGCTTTACTGTGAGTAGGACATCCAGCGATCTTCCACGTTCCAACTGTTTGGAACTCGTGCACAGTCGCAGCCGGTCCTCGGCTGTCTCTGTGCGTTTTGCCCTGTTTGTGACCTCAAACGACCCCGCGTGTCCCTGGAGTCTCGTTGGACATTGGGGAAACACGCTGTTGACACTGGCGACGGCGCACGCGCACAGACGCACAGTTCCGCTCATGCTGTAAAGTTATTGTAACATTATGCTTCAATTACTCTGCTTTTCTCTGCTGCTCATAACGTAATCGATGCCAACAACACAAACCATGGCAGAAGCACAGCGCGTTGCTGTAACGTTACAAAAGCTCGTGCGGGTTTATCGCGGCTCCCTGTCGGTGCTTTTACGCATGCTCCTCCTGTAGGTTACTGACCGTACATGTCCTGTTTTAGAACACGTTTCTCTGACACTAAGCGGACAGTAAACCGTGACAGAAGCGTGTGCGCGCACAAAGGGAGTTGTGTACTCTACTGTCCGTGAAATGGTCAGAGTTACACAATTCCAACGTTGTCAACTTGCGTAATGTGAACAGTGGCCTCCTAGCGGCGGTTTTGGGAACAGTAGACAATAAACTATGTTGTGAATTTGTAGCCAGGATGATCTGACAATAATGAACTAAATATGGGCCCATATAAGAGAAACATGCTGCTTCATTTGGGATTAAGGTTGTCAAAGGTATTGAAAATCAGATACTAACTGATACTAAAACTAGTATTGAAATTAGATGCTCATTTGAACAGGTATCAATACCAAAAAAAAAAGTCCTATTGACAGGACAGACATGAACCTTGCCTGAATAGCTTTAGAATGATCTGGAGCTGTATCGGCACCTAGATTAGTATACACCCATGGAACCTATTGGACCTCTGAGCGAGTACACACATATAAGGACACATGGGAATAGAAAAGAAAGTTCTACAATTGAATGTGGAAAATCACAGAATATTGTTCATTGTCATCAATCAGATGAGGTATTGGGTTTTGAGCACTGAGTATCAGGTTTATTCTTCCTGACTAATATTGAAATCCAGTTGGACATTTTGTGACAACACTATTTGTGATGTAGCATAATCTGTACAGGTGTATTCATGTTGTATTCTTGTATGATCATTGTAAATGTGCCTATAATATGTGGCTTTGTTGGTGTAAAATTCTTCTTGTTTTGTTAGTTTTGTTAGTGTTGTCTAAATAGGTACTCTCACTGGGCTCTCCCTGTATAACAAAAGATAAATAAAATGAAAACATGCCACATGAGCCTCAAGTTTGTCCCTCAGGTGAGCTGTCAAATATCCTTTGTTCTAATCCTCCAGAGGCTGGAGCTCCACCTTTCTTTTGTCATCACTCAGAAATCTTCTTTCTTCTTCCTTTTCCTGACAAAGAGTCTTTCTAAAATCACTTCCTCCAGTCAGACACTTTAACTAAAAAAAAACAAACAAACAAACTGTATGTACTTCTCAAAACGTCATATCAAATTGAAGCAGTCAAATGTTTTTTTTTGTTAGTTTTTTTTTTTTAATGGAGTAGAACTTCATCTGGTCCCAGAATTTAAATAACTTGGAGTTATTCTACATCCATTATTGTCCTTCAAAAGTCATATTAAAAAAGTGTCCCAGATAATACAATTAATAATGAGAATTTTCATCACATCAGGAACAACTTAAACATGAATGCTGCTGAAACTTACTTCTACTTCATGATTATTTCTCACATATTATTTAACCACTTGGTCTCTTGCCTGCCCCACAACACTTAAAACCACTGAAAACCTCTATAAATGTAGTTGATAAAAACCCCACCCACCACTGTCACGTTCTGAAAAAGCATAGGCTATTGGCAACATGGTCATCCAAGGGCTTGTCTAAATTTAATGTCCTACACTCCCTCGCACCACCACCATTAAAGGAGAACATCAAACAAAAAGGCATTTCAGAAAGGACCACGCGAGCCCCCACCAGTGGAGACCTGGTCATACCCCACAGACCTTTGGTCAGAATGTATCATCTGTCCAAGGTAGGAATCTGTGGAATAGTCTTCCACTAACACTCAGAGAGTGTCCTACATACAGCTTTTAAAGCTCAAATGAAAAACTGGTTATGGTCAAACCAAACATGTCTCATGTCTAATGGCATTGTTATTTTAATTGATCTTTTTTAGACACATATTTGCATATATTGAATGTGTGGCCAAGATGACTGCAAAATAGCAGAAACTGTATAGTGACTGGACTGTGCAATAATGAGAACTGTGCAATGAGTGGAGTGTGCAACATTTTATTGTTTGGCTCCCTGTGACCCCTGCCTGTGAGACAATAGATGGAAATGAGCTTTAGGCTACTATCTGGTGTGTTTACATTCATGTTGTGTCATGTCTGTTCATTAACATGCAATCAAATAAACACATTCATTATTTCAACTGTAATCCTAATGAACCGGGCTCCAGAATGACTATACAGCAACATAGTGTTCAATTCAGAAAATTCTAACTCTTATTTTGATACTAAGGACCTTATCCAGCACTGATTCCGATACCATTATGAGAATAAAAAAACAAAACACATTTTCAACATTAAAGGTCCTATATTACCTTCCTTTTGCCTTTAGTCCGTTAGAGATTGGCGATTCTAGGTCTGATGAAATGATTCTGGTGAAAGTGTATGAAGTTTAAAAACACAGTGAAGCGCTTCCTTTGTTCCACCTTGTGATGTTATGTGGTAAAAGAGTGTTTTCTGTTTGAGAGAATAACTTGGCCTAAATTTGCAGGGTTTGTGTTAAACTTGTGTCAGTGAAACAAAACACAACTCCAGGTCTGTTTTTAATGAGGACACAACATTGAAACCCCTTTAAATCATTGTACTTTTCTATTCCCATGTGTGTTATATGTGTGTAATCTGTCAGAGGTGCAGTAGGTTTATGTTGGTCCATGTGTGTATACTAGTCTATGTGCTCTTCTCATACAGCTCTACATCGTTCTAAAGACATTCAGGAAAAGTTCATTTCTGATCTGAATTATTCTAGTTTTGGTATGGATTAGTATCTGATTTTTGATTCTTTTGACAACCCAAACCATGCTCTCGATGTTCTATTTATCTGAGAAACCTCCAGTGTTTCTCCAGGCCAGAGGCTCCAGAGGTGTACTGTCAGGGACCCGGGGCATGAAGGCTCACCTTTAATATCATTTATACAGGGCCCAGTTTTGGTTGGATTCTCACACCAAATCAATACTCTGTCAAAGTATATTCAAATACGGCAGTAATATTCTTATCACTATATCCTAATTATCAAAGATCTGATTTTGTTCTCGTAGCTTTAGGCAGATTGGCAACCCTCTTGTTTGTAGGAGAAATTGTAAACCACCCGTTCACACACACATCACACATTCATACACAAGTCAGTGCACACAATGGGGCCGAGGAAGGTGAAATGTCTTGCCCAGGTACAGTATTCATCTGTCGGGCTGGAATTGTATCAGCAGTCTGTGGGGGAGTTGATCTGCATAAGGAGACGCCCACTTCATGTAGTTTAAACTTCCCTTGAGGATAACTCCACATTTCCTGTGTGTGCTGCAGGTGTCCGGAGCAGTGTGCAGCTCTGTGTGAGGAGACGCTCCACCGCTGCAGCTCTGGCCCAGACGGCAGCTCCAGACACGCAGGAGAACAGGTACTAGAGTACTAGAGTACTAGAACAGGTACTAGAGTACTAGAACAGGTACTAGAGTACTAGAACAGGTACTACAGCGGGAGAACAGGTACCAGTGCATGTAGTGATGTGAAGTATGGATGTGATGTTGTGTTTTCAGAAAGCCGAAGACGGGGATCCTAATGCTGAACATGGGAGGTCCTGAGAAACTAGAGGACGTCCATGACTTCCTTCACAGACTCTTCATGGACACAGACCTCATGAAGCTCCCAGTGCAAAAGTATGTCACTTCAAAACTTTTTTCACATTTCTGAGCTGAATAGAAATCTCTAAAAACACACGTGCACCATTAGCTTTACAATGTCTTTGTTCATGATTTAATCTACCATTACCACTTTATTTGTCCCTAAGGGGCATTTTAAGCACATTGAGCAGTCGTTTCTTTTGTTCTGTGATGAGACCTCGAAACATTTCCTCTGGAATGTCTTCTGCCATATTTGGTGAAGAAAGTCTGTTGCACTGTTGTAAAAAGTCTATAGCTCCATGCAGGGAAAAACAAACTGTTCCAATCAATCATAATCCAATAGTCCTTAGCTTCTCTCCTGCTGCAATTTTTAGTTGATCAAAGTCCCAAAATGTCAATTAAAAAATATAAGATTTATTTAAAGTTTAAAAGCTACCAGCCAGTCGGCCACAAGAGCAGCCACCCAAAAAGAAAAAAAAAGCAGCCAACCATGACCACAGCAACTATGGAATCCTGTTCAAGCAATTCATAATAGTGTTCTCCCAATACCAATACTCAGTACTACACAGCAGATTTTTTGTTACACCAACTACGGCTACTGTGTTGTGTATTTGACCAAAGCAATGTGGCCTCACGTGTGTCCACAAGATAACACAGGTCTAATGACCTGAAGACCACTCCAGACCTCTCTATGTCCAGGAATAATGGACTTACTGATTCAGTAAATAACCCCAAATATGTTACTAAAGTTTTGATATTGTAACAGAATAGTGTAGCCCTGTTTGTTAGTACTAAATGTGTTATGTATGTACTGTTCACCGTGACTGAACGTGTGCTGGATGCTGTGTGCAGTAAACTGGGCCCCTTCATCGCCAAGCGCCGCACCCCGAAGATCCAGGAGCAGTACAGTAAGATCGGAGGCGGCTCTCCCATCAAGCACTGGACCTCCATGCAGGGAGAGGGAATGATTAAACTACTGGACCATATGAGCCCCGAGACAGGTACCACACTGGTCTTTGGCTGCCACGGTCCTACTCCTAACATGCACTTTATTGAACAAACTAGGCAAGTAGTATACCTCTGATAACAAGCACTGAGCTGGAAGGATTCATGTCTCTATCAGTTTACTTGTATCCTCACCACTCCCTTTTAGGGCTGTCAAAAGTATTGAAAATCGGATACTAAGCAATACTAAAACAAGTATCAAAACAAGATACTCATTTGAGCAGGTATTGAAGTCACATTAACGGGACACAAATGAACCTTTCCTGAATGTCTTTAGAATGATCTTGAGCTGCATCAGAAAAAAATACATGAGCACATAGACTAGTATACACACATGGACCAGTATTACAGTCTGCATCGGGGCAATTTTTTTCTGTCCAAGCCGCGTCCGACAGAGCAGTGATCAAATCCGATCTGACCTCAATAGGCATTAAGATGAGATGAAGCTGCTGATCAGCCATAGTGATTCTACTTCCTCTGGACTTTATCACCAACCTTTTAGGCTTTAATAATCATGTATCTTTCCATTTTTGGCCACACATTTCACAAGTAATAACTTTTTAATTTTATTTTTTTTTGTTGCATGTTTAAAAATCGTTTAAGACCAAAAAATCCTGTAGTCTGTGGCGGCCTTAAGCTGTTTTTAATTTTACACTTCAAATGCCTTATCACACTCATGTGTCCAAGTCCAACCCAAACCCAAATGCAAGTTCTAAATATTTGTTCGGGTGGGACTGAGCTCATTGGGTTCTGACGGGTCCCATTGTACTTCAACTCTAAACATTAACCACTAAGGAACCTACCTGGACCACAGAGGGATTACCCAGATATTAGACAACTCCAGACCTCTCTTTGTCCAGGAAAAATTGACTTATTGCAGATTCAGTAAATAACCCAGTAAATGTTACTAAACTTTTGATATTATAACAAAATAGTGCAGCCTTATTTGTTAGTACTAAAGTTGACAACCTGAGAATAGAAAAGAAACTACTACCATTTAATGCTGAAAATCCCATTCTACTGTCTAAATAACAGTGTTTTTGTTATCATCATGGTATCAAGTCCATTCCTTAGTATCAAACTAGAGTTTATAATTATAGTATTGTGACCACACTACTCTCTGTACATTGTGCAAACACTTTCTAAAGTGTTGCGGCAATCATATCCATTTTGAGAAGTGTTTTGTGTGTGCTTCCTGTGTCCCTGTGGACAGAGAGCAGCTCCTTCTCTCTGCTACAGTGAGTAGTGTTAGAGCAGAGCTCCTGCCTGTTTAACGTCCGTCTGTCTGTGCTGCAGGAGATAGTAGCAGAGTGAAGGAGTGGCCCTGTGTTCTGACCACTCCTCTGACAACTCCTCTGATAACTCTTAAATCTTGACTGTAGCTTTTTACAAGCACATTCACAGACTTCAGATGCTCAGAGCTCAGATGCAGAGTGGTTCATACATTGTGATGCCCACTTTTCTCACCCAGAAGTGACTCTTCCTGGGCCATAGTGCTGTTTGTCCAGAGGAGGGCATTGTGTACAAAGCTCTGCGTGGTTTAAGGTTTAAGGTGCAGGTTAGATGGTGGATTTGTGGTGAACATCTCAGCATTTATATTACAGCGTGTGCAAAATAGAGTTTATTTTCTCTGTTTGCTTTGTGTTGTGAGCTGCACTGCTCCGGCATCATCTCCCTCTCCCCCTGTAGCACACAGACACAATATGGCATTAAAGTAAATGTGAATACAAATTTTTATTGCTCAAATACATTGAGTATACATACTCAGCAGGCTTGCTATTTTTTTTATTTCAGATAATTGTGTTATTGTTTCCATGGAATGCATTAGTTTCAGTATTATTGTTTATCATCTGTATTTACGTCAGTAATAAAAAGTTCTTGATGTTTGTGTGGACATGTGCAGCTCCTCACAAGTTCTATATCGGGTTCCGCTACGTCCACCCTCTGACGGAGGAGGCCATCGAGCAGATGGAGAAGGATGGAGTGGAGAGGGCCGTGGCCTTCACCCAGTACCCCCAGTACAGCTGCTCCACCACAGGTCAGAGGTCACACATTCACCACAGGTCAAAGGAGCCTCCACTCTGGTAATGGGTGGAGATAATGTTAATGCGTGGGGAATTCAATATGGCAAAATGTTGTTACCATTTTATAAGGTCTGTGTTTAGATGTGCTCTTTATGTTGTTGAGCAAGAGTCACTTTCAGTCCTTCATGGAAAAATGGGCTTGAATCATTTATTAAACCAAATGAGACATTATATTTAAAATAATAATAATTTGAAAAATGATATTTTCAAATAATAATTTCCTCTTCTCTTATTAATTGACTGAACATGTTGTGTTTCAAAAGGCAGCAGTCTGAACGCCATTTACCGTTACTATAGCAACAGAAGCGAGCGACCCAAAATGCGCTGGAGCGTCATTGACCGGTGGCCCACACACCCTCTGCTGGTGGAGGTGAGACAGCCCCACTCCCTTGTGCCACACCCCTCTGTCTGTCCTGTATCAGTGACAGGCCATGGTCTTGTTTCCTCTTCTGTCTGATGCCAACGTTGTGTGCTGTCAGTGTTTTGCAGAACATGTGAAGAACGAGCTGCAGAAGTTCCCACAGGACAAACGGGACGATGTGGTCATTCTGTTCTCTGCCCATTCACTACCTCTCGCTGTGAGTAAACACTCTGTTGTGAGTGAACACTCTCTTGTGGTAGTGAACACTCTCTTGTGGTAGTGAACACTCTCTTGTGGTAGTGAACACTCTCTTGTGGTAGTGAACACTCTCTGCTGTTAATAAGCACACTTTTCAATAAGTCCTCTCTGTGAGTAACACAGGGGCCTCTGACCCTCTGATCAGCCATGTTAACTGCTTTGATGTGACACTTGTTGTCACTCTTCTCAAATCTATCGTCTCTAGACATGCATGCGGAGTTCATGAGGATGTAGTTTGTCTGCTTCAGTGCATATTGGTCTGTTTAAAACTGTTCTAGTTGTGTATGCGTGTGTGTGGGTTGTTAACAGTTAGTGTGTGCCGTGTGCAGGTGGTGAACAGGGGGGACCCGTACCCTCAGGAGGTGGGAGCCACAGTTCAGAGGGTCATGGAGAGACTGGACTACTGCAACCCCTACAGACTGGTGTGGCAGTCCAGAGTGAGTATCTCACACACACACACACAGACACACACAGTCAGAGTCTCTCCACACTGAATTACCTCTATGTATTGTACATCATATCTGCTGTTCATGTCCAAGTAGGAACTAAAATGACAAACTTTACCCAAACAAAAACAGTAGCATTTGTGTGCTGTTGTGCCAGGTGGGCCCCATGGCGTGGCTGGGCCCTCAGACTGACGAGGTGATCAAAGGTTTGTGTGAGCGGGGTAAGAAGAACCTTCTGCTGGTCCCCATCGCCTTCACCTCAGACCACATCGAGACCCTGCACGAGCTGGACATTGAGTACAGCCAGGTCCTGGGAGAGGAGGTACTCCGCACCCTGTACTTCAGACTTAGCAGCTCAGATTTGAGTTTCTCAAACTCTGTTAATGTTAGTGGATATCTTTAAGGGACATTTATATAAGATTTTGATTTTAAATTCCATACACGTCTCTTAATTGTGTCCAGAATTCATTCAGTGAGCTGCAGAGGCTGCACTAGCACAGACTCATGATTAGCTGCAGGCCCTGGGTTTTAGGCAGAGACTATTTAGATCAGAGTCCTCTTAGGATTTATACCAACTGGTTTTCCACATTGAAACTGTCCTGGTATAGTTTTGTTCTGGGTTCTTTCCCATCATAGTTCCAAGTTCAAACAAAGGGTAACAGATTTGACAAGTTATGTCCAGTCTTAATTGACCTGAGCCCGTACTCATGTCAGCCTACTGGTCTTCATCAGGGGGACCAACACAATTCAAAAGTACAATGTGATATTATACAAGTGTTCCACTAAATTGATAGTGGGAATAGTCCCAATTCCATGAACTAATGATTGATAGTTGAATGTTACACCGGATTGAATCAGAACTGAACCTTAGCGTGTGTCTGTGTTTTAGTGTGGTGTGGAGAACATCCGGAGAGCAGAGTCTCTGAACGGAAACCCTCTGTTTATGAAGGTATGTCACACTCTCTGGTCTTGTGCTTAACCTTTTGGTCTTGCACTTAACCCTTTGGTCCTGTGCTCTTAACCCTTTGGTCCTGTGCTTAACCTTTTGCTCTCTGGTCCTGACAGGCGCTGGCAGACCTGGTCCAGTCCCACCTGAAGTCCAAGGAGCCATGCTCCCGTCAGCTGACTCTGCGCTGCCCCCTGTGCACCAACCCCACCTGTGAGCAGACCAAGGCCTTCTTCTCCTCACAGAAGCTCTCCTAACACTCCCCGTGAGGGCCACTGGACTCTCCCATCCCAGGGCCCAGCACCTGCCTGCTCTCTACTACAGACGTGCTTCTTCTGCACCCAGGAACAAGCTTGGGAAATGGAGCTGAACTGTCTTTGTTCAAATATCACAGTTTGCCGTTGATTTCAATCATTGATCTTCTTAACCAAACAAAAACCTTCATATTGGCATAACTGATCCCGCTGGTCCAGTCTGCTGAGCCATTTTCTAACACCTCATATTGCTCGCGGATGCTAACAATGCCCCGCCCCCTGCTGCAGTCCCTGTAATGTGATTGGACTAGAGCTAAGCAAAAGGTTGTGTTCACGTTCCAGAATTTGATGATGTCAAAGTTTCAGATGTTGTGCAGTTGTCTATACAACTCTCTGGGAGATTCAGTGTGTTTGAAAGAAATCTTCAAACTTCATGTTGAACCTTCTCATCTGTTTGGGATCAGCTCCACAAACTTGTCATAAGTCCTTTCACCTGAAACACTCACGTTTTTCGGGTTGAATATCGGCTCCACTTTCTGAAACTGTTGTGAAAAAATTATTTGACTTTTGTATTTATACTAACAGAAGATTCCAGTTTTTTTTCTTGTGGATAGGCCCAGGAATTACAGAGATATAAACCATAAACAATAAATGTGTGATCTGACAGGTCCACAGCAAACTCCACGTGAGCGCTGTGACCTGCCTCAGCTCAGGTTCAGCCACAGGGAGTCTAGAGTGTGCTCATGTCACGTGAACACAACCTTTTGGTGAAGACAGACTGCAGATAGGACAGTCTCAATGCCGTTTGTTATAGAAAAAACACGTTTTATGTTCCTTATAAAATGTAAGAGACTGTCATGTTTAGCTCTGCTTTTTATATATATACATATATATTTGAAACGCACAAAATGTTGAAGTGTACACGAGCGCTGGTTATGACATTTGTAGTTGAATTGAAATGTCCCTGTGTCCCAGCTTTCTTGTTGCCGTTAGAAACGAGAAGTGGACTGCACTGCTTTTGACTTTGTGAAAGACTACTGCTGAAGATCTAGTGTACTCATGGGTTTAGCATCCTGTTATAGACAACACTTTAAGGACTTTTTCTTATTTAAAAGATATAATATTTTGTTCCCAGTTGTTAATTGCTATGGCAACAGTCCTAATTAGTAGGATAGGTGTGTGTTATCACCAACCCTAGAGAAGAGACGTGTATATGACATGTGCCTTTCATTGCACACACACACACACACACACTTACACGTGTGTGATACATCCTGATACAGTGATACAGTAACAGTTGTACAGGCCCAATCTGGTTTTGAAATCATTGTTTTTAAAGTGCACTATGTAACTTTTCTGGTAGGTGGTTTGTCACTTGTATGTCTCCATGGAGATTGTGATATACAGTCAGTATTTATTACTTTGCCTGTAATGTTCCACTGTTGGGTTTTACTTGCCAAGTGCAGACCAGTCCCTCTGAAAAGTTGATTACTGCACAGAAAAGACACTTATAGCTTCACCAATGTTGTTTTTTCTAAATGTGCAAACATGTTTTTAGTAATCTAACGATACAACAGTCTGGAGTAAATACACACAATATCAGCAGTACAGTAGCCCTGTGTATTTGGTGCATATTCATACTTGAAATGAATGTACTGCTTGCAGTTTTGACATCCTACAACACTGAAGTCCTGGTGCTGCTTTCGGCTTAGGGGGCGCTGTTGATCCTCTGACACTGTTATCTCTGTACTGTTGTTCAGATCAAAGCCACATGTCTTTATTAGAATCCTTTGTTTGCCATTTCCAGCATAATGTATGAACGCTCAGTCTTCCTTTAACAAAATGACCCTAAAACTTGAGAATCCTGTGTGTATTTTTTGTGTCTCTGCAGCACTCACTTATAAATCGATTCAATTCTCAATTTCTCAAGTGATTTTTATTTACCTTTTTATTTGAGCATATTTACTTTAGACCTATTCTGCCAAATGTACTTTTTACAGTGTCTTACCATGTTACAGTAGTTTCCTTCTCACTGACCTCTGAAGTTTTTGGAGTGATATGTGCATCTTTGAGTAATCTTTATTCTGCTGTATTCCAGAAGTCACTGCTCTGGTCTATCCCTGTTTTCAGCTCAGTACTCGTCCACTGTGACGTATGCACCTCCTCCAGTTTGATTTCCTTTATCAGTGATACATGTTGGATTCCGTCTTTTGGTCCAAATGTAAAAAAAAAAAAAATGCTCTGCTCCAGTGTGATGTGCAGTTCTCCACAGGAGGGGCCCACAGCATGCGGAGCTTTGTTGTCAGGACGTTTATGGCCAAGTCAGCTCCACTGGACACCAGTTTTCTAACACACAAGTCAGTGGACTTGTTTCTTTTATGAAGTCATTTTAGATCTATTGTGATTTAAATGTATAACCTTGAGCCACAGGTGTCTTTAAAGGGGCACTGTGTAACTTTGCCACTTGCTTGTCTCCATGGAGCTTATTCTTTTTCTTTTGTCTAATGTTCCACAGTATGGCAGCTTCCCTACTGTCATCATTTATTCAGTCATGTGGGTTTTTAATGTTGACATGTGCCTTGGAAAACACGACATGAGATCACCTTTCCACAGATCTCTGTTATGGTTTGGCAAGAGGGACCCCAAAGCAGAGCCAGGACTCAGTCAAGTTTTAACAGTTTATTTTACAAACGGGAGGCAGGCTGAGGAGGCAGGGAGCTGGCCGGCGGAGACACCTGGGCGAAAACAGGAGCAGGTAAGTTCAAAACAAACAATAAGCAAAACAGGTAAATATCCAAGAGCCTGATAGACGCTACCGAACAGGACTGAATTATCTGGCAAAGTGGTGGTGAGAAGACCAGGGCTAAATACAGAGGCTGATGAAGGGATTGATCGCAGGTGTGTCTTATCTGCTCTGGAAGAAGCCACGCCCCCTGCCACACTCAAGCCCTGCAACAAAAGGGGAGGGGGAGAGAACAAAAAAAAAAAAAATCCTAACAGATCTCACCTGTAACCTGTGCTGGAAACATCACATGCTTGTCTCCATGGAGATGGATACGCTCAATGCTGTATTGTGGAGCTTCCCAAATAAAACAAGAACATCTAGAGAGACAAGCAGGTGACACAGTGTGGCTTTAATGCAACTTTAAAGGTCCTCTATTATGCAAAACTTACTCTTGATATAATGTTGTTACCACCTCAAAAACAGACCAGGAGTTGTGTTTTGTTTCATTCACACATTTCCAAAGCTCAAAATGC